GCGCGGTGGCGTTCCCACAACCACCGCGAGACACCCTGCAGCGCCCTGCAGTCGCAGTCCCACGGGCTGTCTGGAGACTTCCCATCGTAAAGGGGGAGGAAAAACTGAATGGATCAATGAAATCCCGCCGCAAGTACTTTCTCTCTCGCTTATTTCCGTCTCTTTCCCAAAGCAATAAGCGCTTATTCATTTCAAAGATGAATAAAGCGTCCCGGAGATTGAAACAGGCAGGCGAGCTCGCCGCACACTCCCCGGGAGTCGAAACGTGCACACTTTTCTTTCTATTTTTTTTTCTTTTACTCCTTCATCTGCGAGAAAATAATGACTCCTTGGGTACCTCTGCACTGCAGTATGTAAGTGCTGGCGGTCGAGTTTGGACCGCACGGCACGCCTCGTCCGAATACAAACCGAGCGAGAGAAAGCAAGCAGGCCATCATCGCCTCAGATCGTAACAGACGGACCTACTTTGTCTAGGAGGAACACGCACTCTGGCGGCCTGGGCCTGCTCTGGCCTGGGCCGGCCCGCCGGGCGCACCCATTCGGAATCACTCACCGCGCTTAGCCTAACGACTCCCTCAGATCAGACAAGAAGGCTTTTCTCGCTCATCACGCGTGGAGACAACAAAAAAGTTTAAAAGAGAGGAGTATGAAAAGGAGAGTGCTCTTGCTTTGAAAGCGGTGCGTGTGTGTGGCGTAAACATTACTCATCGCTCCGTGGTGTCATAAGAAGACAACCCCTTCCTCAATTATTTCTGAAGCTTCAGTCACACGGGCATCCGTTCCACATCGTGACAGACCCGCCCCACCAACAGTCGATTGATTCAGAATATGCCTTTCAAATACAAGTGTTCACTATCCAACAACACGAGACAGAAAATGAGAAAAGAAATGTCACGCACTTTTATTTACTGAGTAAGGCGAAAGTGTCGTGGCGAAGCGAACTCCCCCCCTTCTGCCTGTCCTGTGTATAAAGGCCCGCCTGCGGTCTGGTCGCCTGGGAGGGCTGCACGCTGCATATAATTGTCTATGCGCCACGGAAGCAACTGCTGCAGCGCACTGCAGCCGAGCAGAGCGAAGCGCGGCCGCGGCGGTCAACCAGTGATCAGCGCGGCGGTCAACCGGTGATCAGCACTCAGCAGCAACCCGTCAGCAACGACCACCACCGCCTGCTGCAGTGTGCGGTTTCGCACACCGTCTATCTATCTCCCAACGCGGCGGTTTAACGCACGCTGATTGGTTCGCGAGGGCTCAAAAGACCTGTTGCTACTGCTGTCCGCGTGCAGGCCTCGCACACGCACGCAGTTGCTGCTGATCCGCTATACTCCGCTTATTGCGCTCGCTAATCGGCCGCTAACTGAACACGCGTATTATGTGAGCGGGGCGGTGGGAGGGGAGTGCACTGGGGGTGCACCAGTCAGGGCTGCATTTAGGATAGACGGACTCTGCAAGTCTGTGTGTACTGTTTAACAGTTTACCCGCAGATTGTAAGTGACAGTACTCCTGACTCTGCAAATAATGGCCACGATCAAAACAACATGTTTGCGACATCATATGAATACACCTCCGGAACTAAAAGTTTTACCAAACAAAAATTGCAGAAGTGAAACGTTTTGCCACTTCCAGCAGCGGGCGAGCCGTTCTACGACACATAGATTAGCAGAGTAGATAGAATCCCCATCCGACTGAGTGGCAGCCCGAGCCGCGCATTCGCATTCCTGGAGCGGCCTTGCCTTCGCTTCGCGCAGTCCTCGCGCTTACTGAGCGGATAAACATCTGGACGGACCGAGTCCGGACTAATCCCGCGTGCCACAGTAAGTAGGGTGGCGCACCCCGCCCTGAACCCGCCCGCGGCATGTACTCAACAAATAAACACGGGTTCCAACTCAATCAATTTTTAAAAAGTGCCAAAAATTGACAACCCTTTTAAAATTGGGCAGTGGTCCACCCAGAAAAAATGGAATTTCGGTTCAAGGACTCAAATGCACTCGATCGAATGAAGAGTACACTTGATTTGAGAACATTTTCCTCGACATTTTCACATGTAGTACGACCGAGGGGTGCCCAACTGTGGTAATCAGGTGTACACAGAGTTGGTAATCACTGGTAATCACTGGTAATCCCTGGTAATCTACACTCTCTTGAGGGTCCTTTTAAAGGACAAATTTGTTGATTGAGACATGCATTTTTGTGCACATCTTGTCTAAATGCAAACGCCCATATTTTATATGACGTATTTGCATCCCCCCCAATGGACAAAAACATAATTTGTCCAATCACAGAATGCAACTTTGTAACTTGCAAGATAATTACCTAAAATGTGCACCATAGTGCATCTTTCTCGGGACAAAAAATGGTTGTTTCGATTTAGAATGCAGGCGAATTATACCTAGTATTCATTGGTAATCTTTGGTAATCTTTGGTAATCATTGGTAATCCCTGGTAATCTTTCCAATTTGGTAATCCGGTGTACACATTTTTATGGAGTTGGGCACCCCTCGAGTACGACCGAGTAAGACCGATACGCTTGATTCAAAGTGCCAAATGCATTTGGATGTGTTCTCAAATCGAAATGCAAAATACTCTTCCTTCATTCGATTGGGTGAATAAGTGCATTTTAGAATTGAACCGAGTGTCTGTCTAACACAATTTGAGTATGCTTTTTTAGACGAATTTCCTTCTGGAGATACGATTAATTCATAGTTGGACTCTGCCCACAGAAAGTTCGTTAGCTGGCGCAAACTTTATCCCTTGTGCACTACCATGAGGGACCCGCACCTCTGCAATGTCCTCGGATTCAACCCTTTCGGCGACGGCAGTGAGCAGTGAGCAGGACGGGAGAAATGACACTAACATCACTATCACTGTAATCCTTTGGGCGATGAACGATGCACTGTGGACACAAGCACGGGATATCCAGCGCGGTGCTCTTCGTCACGGCGGTGACCACCACACACACAACAGAGAGAGGCCCTCACATGGCGGGACACATGCACTGTACGCGCGGACACAGCGCGCTGCTCGGCGCCTCGTACCGTAACCGCCGCGAACCGAACCGCGCAGCGAGGCCTTCGGGAGCGGACTGGCTGCTGCTGGGCGCCGCCGGCCGCGAGGCTCCGCGGGGGCCCCGCCGCGCCCCACCCCGCTGTCATGCGGGCCGTCCGGGTGCCGCCGCAGCCCCGCGGGGCCTCCGGGTGGAGTCCTGGCACAGCCTCTCCGAGCGCGTGAGCCGGGCTGGGGCGGCTATGGTGCCGCGGGGCTGCGGGGGCGCCGGAGGGCGGGTCAGCCCGCCGAGTGAGCCGGCCATCGCCACGGCGCACGGAGCCAGCAGCAGCAACGGCATCCCGGAGTTGTGTAGCGCTGGCAGTGCGGGGCCGGGCGGAGCCGGGCAGAGCCCAACATGGGCATGCATTGCACTACGAACCGCCATCGTGCCGCTCAGAGCCGCACCCGCCTCCGGGGGCCTGGCCAGGCGTGGCGGGGCGAGGCGGGTGGAACACGAAACCAACAGGACACGGGCAGGACATCCACCTGAACGTGCCGAGCCGTACCGTACCGCGTTCCATAACGGCACCGGCGCGGGGCGCGGCGGGGCGCGGGGCGCGGCGGGGCGCGGCGGGGCAGCGGCGCCGCGTAGGGATCCTTGCCAGGATACACATTTACCACATCGCGGAACGCCCCGCGCACTGCATCCGCTCGTGCGTGGCCCGCGCCGATGGGCCGCGAGGTGCGCGGTGGGCCGGGACGTCCTGATGTCCTCACCGCAGCAGCAGCAGCAGCAGCAGCAGCAGCAGCAGCAGCAGGAGTCGCTTCCTGAGCCGCCGCCGCCGCCCGGAGCTTCCCTTCGCCGTCCCTGCAGCCCCCCCACCCCCAATCACCCTATCCCCTTGTGGCGTCGGGACACCATACCGGGACTCACACCAGAAGACTAGCAGCAGCGCTGTCGGTAAACGCGCTGCCTGGAGTCGCGGAGTATAGCAGGGCCTCGCCTCGAAGACCAATTTGGGCCCGTTCTAGCGGCGGGGCGTGGCGCGCGGGCTTTTGTACGTACCGCGCGCTTGCCTTGTGCCCGTCCCCTCGGCAAGGACGCGCCCAGCCCACCCTGCCGCACCTGTCGCCGCCAAGCTGTACGGCGCGTGCCGCTAAACACAAAGGCCAGGCACGCAGCGCGCCCGAGCGCACCTGATCTGGAGCAGGCCACAGGCCGCGCAGAGTGGGCAAGCGAGGTCGTCGACACCGCAGCCGATGATGATGCATTCATAGACGTTTGTGCATATCGACGCGAGCGTGCATTGCGCGTCCGTGTCTTCAAAGGACGCCGCGGCCGCGGAGCGCCAAGGACACGCACTCGCGCCCGCGCCACCGTGTCGTTGACGTGTCGTTGACACAACGGCCAGCGCCGTCATGGGAACTCACGTGTCGTCACACCGGCCGGCCGCACGGACATGCGCGCCGAGGACTGGCCGAGGAGTAAAGACGGCCATCCCGAGAGCAGGATAAGGGCCGTGGCCGCGAAAGAGAATGAGTGATCGGGAAGGTCCCGGACACGGACACGCGGCGTAGCGTCACGTCACGGGTCCGAAGCTCACCCCCCACCCCCACTCCCACGCGCGGCCAGGTCGGCCACCCGCACAACATAAGGGTCGCCATAGCGACGCGGCGGCGGCTTGCCTGGGGCAGGAGGTCGCGGCTGGGCTGGGGTGAGGAGGGGGGGTG